TCTTTTATTCCTTTTATAAAGAGAGGAAATTGGCTGCAATCTTTTAATTAGATGGTTCAGTCCAGCTAGGTAGATTTGTCAATTAGCATCTGCATCCAGATGTGATGTGTCACCTTGAAGGTCACCAAAAACGTTTTCTGATTCTCTTAGTTAGTTGGGGATACATAAACCCAGAAATGATGAAAAGACGGCTCCAGTCTATAGTCCCATCCAGCTCAGTCATGTAAAGCTGACAGCAACTGGATATATACATGAATGTGAGTATGATATAAAATATTTATTATTAGAGGCTCTGAGATCTTAGAATTGTTTTGTTTTGCAGAATCAGCATAGTAAGAACCTTTCTAATATGGAAACTAGCCCTGGAAATATGGCTTTGCTTAAATTCTGTGGTAGTGGCTTTGAGCTCAGAGAGCACGTGTGGCAAAACAAATAATAGAGGTTGGAAAAACAGTGACTCACATGTGGTACAAGCAAAACATTTGATGAAAGTATCTCCTGAAAGACAAATCCGAAAGACAAAAGCTACTTAAGGAACAAAGAAAAAATGATTTCAGAGAAGAGTTAATGGATCTGAAAGCAGAATGGAGACGAAATACAGAGAAACCAGAAATTCTCAAACTCTTCAGCTTCTCATGCCCAACCAGAAAAAAGAGCACGTTAAAAAGTTGTTTGAATTTGAAGGCACACTATGACTCCACCTCCAGAAAAAGACCAAATCAAACTTTTAAAGCTCATTTGAAGGATTAAAGAGATACCTAATAGATCGTTGGACTCCCAGAAATCTGATCTATAAAATGACCACTGAAGTATATTTGATAAAAGTAACAAAATTATTGTAACTTTTATTACACGAATTGACCAGAATCAAACAGAAAATCCAACAAACTTTTTGAGTGAGTGCTCTTGCTCAAAATGAGAGATGTGGTTTAAAATACACTTGCCTGCAGCTGGGCGTGGCAGCGCAAGCCTTTAGTCCCAGCACTCGGGAGGCAGAGGCAGGCGGATCTCTGTGAGTTTGAGGCCAGCCTGGTCTCCATAGCGAATCCAGGCCAGCTCCAGGGTCTCCCTATCTCTGTCTCAAAAAGACCAAAAAAAGTACCAGACTGGTGGAACTACCCTTCTTGGATGTTTAACAGTTTGCAGTACTGGGGATTAAATCTAGGGCCTTGTGCATGGTAGGTAAATGCTCTGCCACTGAGCTCTGTCCCATGCCCAATATTTACTTCATAAGATAGGGCCTAAGTTTCCCAGGCTGGTCCTGAACTCACTCAGGCTATAGCCCAGACAGGCTTTATGTTTGCAGTGTTCCTGCCTCAGCTTCTCAAGTGGCTAGGATCACAGCCCTTGTGTCACTGGGCCCAGCTGACTATTTAAGATGCAAAAAGATCACCAGCTCTCCAGTTTTCTGTAGCTATGAAGCAAGATGAGAAAGCTCCCTGGATGGCAGTAAGGTCGGTGACCTGCTTATTGTTTGCCTGGGACTTTGCTGTGTTAGCACTAATAACTCTGCAGACCCAAGCTGGGATGGCTGGTCACCCTTCAAGGAGGACAGATTCTACCTTGATAGCTTAGGTGGCCAAAGAAGATAATAGAAAAGGAGAGACTTCCAGAAAGCCAAGAGTTGTGGTAAAGCTGGGTTTGTTGTCTACACCTGTAATCTCAGCACTTGGGGGCCCAAGGCAGGAGGATTACAAATTCAAGATCAGCCTGGGCTACACAGTGAGACTGTCTCAACTCCAAATCCAGGCTAAACCAGACCAAACAAACAACAACAAAAACCATGGTAAACAACAGACTTAACCAGGAAGCAGAACCAAGGCTTAAGTGAGAAACACTTCCTTCCTATCCCTTGGAGTCAGGGGATCCTGAAGGAAGGTCAGAGCTGCCATGGGCCTCTGCCGGCTCACGTCCTTCCTTGATCCACTTACTTGAGAGCAATCACATCATTTGTTCTTCATAGGGATGCCAGAAAAATTAGGTACCATTTGGAATTTCCCCAAAGATCTCCGAACTAGGCTGAGAGAATCTAGAAAAATAATTTATTTTGGCTGAGGAGGTGGCTCGGTGGGTAAACTGTTTGCTTCACAGGCATGAGGACTTGAGTTTGGAATCCCAGCACTCATGTAAAAATAGGGCATGGTAATGAATGCCTGTAACCCCAGCACTAGGGGTGGAGGGAAGGGGTGAAGTGGGGTGCTGGGGGTAATGTGGTAGAAACAGGCAGATCCCAGGTGCTCACTGGCCAGCCAGTCTGGCTGGATCACTGAGTTCCAGGTTCAGTGAGAAACCCTGTCTCAAAAACTAAGGTAAGGAAGTGATAAAGGAAGACATCTCAATGTCAGCCTCTGGTCTCTACATGCATCAGCACAGTTGAGTGCATCTGCTGCACGTATGCCTCTCCCTCCCTCTCTCTCTCTCTCTCTCTCTCTCTCTCTCTCTCTCTCACGCTTGTCTCTCTCCCCCTCTCTCTCTCTCTCTCTCTCTCTCTCTCTCTCTCTCTCTCTCTCACACACACACACACACACACACACACAGATTATTTTAATGGCATGCTGTAATGAAGAGTCTTGATTTTCTCCATGACAATACAGAAATTTATCAGATGTATCTCAAAATGCCTGACGACGAAGCCCGGTTTCTCTTTGTTGCCCTCACATTTCTGACTCACGGAAGACTGCACGAGATGAAGTGCTTGGCATGAGTCAGCTCTATAGCTCTTGCTTGCACCAGCCAGTTCAGAGCTGTCTTGTGTCTAGTGCCTCGTGTCTAGTCTGTCCAGGTTTTCTCTCACTTCTGCACAGCTTCTTCACTGAATCTGATCTGATTAGGGTGGCAAGTTGTTGTCTCTGCCTCCCCAGGATGCTGAGAACTTGAAATATGATGTACACTTGAGACAGTTCATATATTCTGTTAAGACTGAAGGATGTAGAAAAACCTAACAGAATCTTTGAGCTGGTCATCTCACGTATATGGATTAAATCAAACAAGATGTGGTAGAGACAATATTATGTGTTCATCAAACCTCTCAGTGGTATCAGGCATCCATTGGTGGTCTTGGACTATATCTCCTGCAGATAAGGTGGACCAACAGTTTGCACACCCCGTTCCCAAGAAATCTCCCTCACTATTCCCATTACTGTTCTTTGTTTGTTCCCAGAGGAGCCATTCACAAAGTACGATGTGTTTCTGTCTCTCTTGTTGGAGACAGACATTAAACATAGGAAAGTTAACACCAGACCCAAGAACATTCTGGGAGTTTAAATGAATACAGAGGTCTCACTGAGGCAAATTTTTAAATGTATCTTAATGCTCTGCTAAGGTCCTTAGCAAGTAAAGAAAATCAACTTGGTCCCTAAGGCATTGACCTGAAAGTGTGTCTTTGTTGCTTAAATTATGATTGCAACATTCTGGGCTGCATTTTCTTAATGAGCTCTAAATGGAAGTGTTTATCTCAGGAGGACGAACTGTTTCTTCCCTTTGTCCCTGGTGACACACAAAACATACTAATTGATAGGAAGCTAATTTTAAGGAGACAGGAAAGCCCCAAGGCCTTTGTCATACTGACAACTGAGGCTAGAGTCATTACGGAGCCTGTCAAATCCTGGCT